CTGGCCTTGGGAGCGCTGGGCTGGCGTGTGGGGGTAGGTGGGGGTCGTCTCCAGGTCCTGGCTGAGCTCTGGGGCTGGGGAAGGAAAGGCTGGTGCTGAGGGGAGGACGTGGGGCGCTGGGCTCAGTGTAGCTCTGGCAGCCCTGTCCTGGGGGCAGCCAAATCTGGGGGGTGAACGGAGTGTTTCTAGAATGGGGAAAAAAAAACCCCAAGGGGAGCAGCAGAAAATTACAGAGCCTCGTAGTTTTGTCTAATTTCTTTTTCAATGTAGAGAAACTGCTATTTATATTGGTGTCATTATCCCAGTGAACTGCCAGAGGGAATGTCCTTATTCCACAGCACAAAGAGCTTTTCCCACCTTGCCTTTAAGATGCTTCAAAGCAGCATCAGCTTGGTAAAGGGCATGCTTGTCTCCAAGTAAGAGTGAATAGATGCATATACATTTCTTAATTTATTTTGGTGTAGTTCCCCCATTTATGGAAGCTTAAATAGGAAAAAAAAAAATGAAGTCTCTTCATGCTTGGGTTTGAAACCTCGCTCCTATCACGAGCTCACTGTTGGTTAGCTACCCAGGGGACAGCCAGGGGCAGCCAAGCTCTGCCCGTTACACTGTGTCCTTCCTCGCCCACTGCTCTGGAAGAGCCTTGGAGTAAATCATCGTGGGATAATCCGTTTTCCCCCTTGTTACATAGGATGAGAACAGCATCAGGACTGTAGGGCCGGCGCTTTCCAGTCTCAGCCCCCTGGTCAGGAAGATCAGGAGCCATCCTGCACTGAGCCGTGGCTGCGTTCTGCTTGGTGTGCGGGGAGAGTCCTTTTGGCAAAACCAGAAGGCGCGGTTTGAGGCATGCGTGGATTTTATTTCAGCAGGGAGCGGGGTGGGGTTGTGGAAATCTGGGCACCTTCGCTGTCGGCGTAGCTGCCACTGAAGTGAGAGCTGGGTGTGATTGGAGCTCCAGACTTTTCTGTTTCACAACTTGTCATTATTAGCAGGAGAAAATCCATCCCTTGTTGATATCTGTAAAAATAACTAACTTCGGGTTCTTCTAGACTTCTTGGCCTGAAAGTTTCTCTTAGTTTGATTGCTTCATCAAAAAATATTTGTAAATATCATCCAGTTGAGATGACGCCATGGGAATGTCAAGATCTTTCTGAAGCCTGGATAAGATTAAGTGCAGCTGGAGGCACAGGAACAGGGGCTGAGCCTGAGCCCCTTCAGGTTTGCCATGTTGCTGTGGAGCACACTGAATTTGTCAGTCTTAAATATCCTTACACCAGTGGAATGACACAGAAATGTACTCTGCCAGGGTAATCGTTTCCTGCTTACGGTTTTCCTCATGTTGCTGCTTGGGAGATTATAACAACACTGTTTGTAGCTGCTTTAGTGTAGGCAGGGCTTTGACTTTACCCTTTTTGAACCACTGTAATACATTTTTCCTCTGGAAATGAGTAAGTGGAAGTTACTAGTGAAGTATAGAATAACACATATTGTATATTTAAAGCGTGTGGGGTTTGTCTTTCGGTCAGGGTTAGATGTCTTTCTGCAGGGTCGGTGACAGTGAATTTTCGTGAATTTTAGGCCTTCAGTGTAGTTCTCTGGTGTAGATCTTGCTGCAGGATCAGATTATTAGGAAATAAATCCTGTTTCTTGCACCACTATCCTACCATGTGTACAGTCAGCAGATCATTATGGAACCACAGAAATGTCAGTCTTACGTATTTGCTCTTGGGTTTTGATATGAAATGGTGAAGATGGGAAATCCCTGGCATTTCCCACATTAATTAGGACTTGCTAAGATGTATTGTGGTTTGCAGTCGCATTAGCTGACTCCTCTGGTGCTTGGCACCTTTACAACACAGTGTTTGAAAAGAGCCCAAGGCAGCCTGCTCTCATTTTTTTGTTTAAACGAAAGCAAAGGTGTCAATAAACCTGGCACAGCAGCTATGAAAATTGGATTTTATTGGTGTAACGTTTAAAAGGAGGGCTCTCTCACCTGTTCCGTACAAAATAAGGCGTGGTTACTGAATAAATCGGTGAGATTAGTGTGGTTGAGACTCCATGTTCGTAGTGAAGCACCTCTGTTTCTCAAGGATTTGAAGCTTTGGCAGGTTTGGATGGGATCTGTTTCTCTTCCAGTTCAGCTCCTGCTGGTTTGGGGTCAAGCCGGTGGCCTGGTCACACATGGGAGTGTTGTCTAGAGGCAGCCCCGGGAGTTTCACCTCTTCTCTGACCTGAGTCATCGCAGAACATGTAATGGGGGTGATCCTCTGCAGATTTAATCTGAAAACAGAGGGTGCACTTTCAAGTGGACTTGTCATAGTGTCTAAAATCTGCAAGCAGTGTTTCAGCAACAGCCAGGGTACCAGGAATCACCAAAATCAGATTTTATTAAGCCCACCGCAGTGCGCGAAGGTTTGTAGCTCTGGAGGAGAGAGCAGAAGCGCCTGCATTTAATTTGCACTTTGGCTTGTCGGTTTGAAATCCCTTTCAGAAACAGGAGTTAATAAAAAATGAATTAAGTTTCACATGGTGGTTTTTGTGCCTTTGAATTTCTCAGCTAATTGATGCCGTTTTGCAACTGCATCTTCTCCAAAAAAAAAAAAAAAAAGCAGCGGTTTCCCCTCTATTGACGTGGCTGGAACAGCAGCGACAACCTTTCTGCTTCTTGGGTTCTTCTAAACCCCCCTGCCACCTGCCTTCGGGGCCACAGCTCCTCCTGGGGACACAGATCAGGGGACAGGCAGCTTCTGATTTTCCAGGGGACACACACACTGTGTGGCAGCGAGATACAATTTGTCCCCCGTTGGCTCACCCTTGTCAGGGCTGGATATGACTAAAAATATCATCAGGGGCTAATTGATGCTGAGGCTACCTGTGGTGACAGTGCTGTGGTTAGAGAGTGTTTAGGGATTGCAGGTGGAAAGAGCTTTAATTCTAAAAAGATTTTTTTTTCTTTTTTTTCTTTTTTTTTTTTTTTTTGGTGGAAACTTTTAGTTTTTAGTTACCGCCTAGGGAACTGAGAACTTTAAAAAATCATATTCTCTTTTTTTTTAAGACCATTTTTGGCATGCAACAAAAATTGATTTAGAACTAAGATTTTAAATTTTCAAATTGATGGACTGCTTTTTTTTAATCATTATTAATTTTAGTGTCTGGCCTTCTGGCTTTAATGCCAAGCTTTCAAGCCACTAACAATTAAACTTGTAGTTCTAAGCCCTCAGAATGGGTTTGTAATTGAACCACCAGTTGGCCCTCAGCTATAGCAGCTTTTTTTTTTTTTAATCACGTAAATCCGTGTCATCCCTTGTAGAGGAGGCATTATTCACATGGTTGGTTTGTTTGTTTATTCAGTCTAATACTATAATTATTGCTAAAAAATGTGATAGATTTGACTTAGACGACACGACAGGTCAGCGTCAGATGTATTTTTGGATTCCATTTTAATGTAGCTGTTGAGGTTTTTTTGATGCGGGCTCTCCAGGGACTGCAGAGGAAAATTCTAGCTGCTTTCTCCACTTGTGTCTTTCAGGGCTGTGTATTATGCTGACTTGAGATCCTTCAGTTCTAAGGAGAAACATGATATATATGTGTGCTTTCAAAGCAAGACAGGCTCAGCAGGAGGAGTTCAGCGAGAACAGCAGCATGCGCATGCTGAAACTGCACTTAGGAAAAAACAGAACCACATGTGCTTTTGTGGAACTCCAAAGTTGTGTAAATTGGATGCAAATAAATGCATATGGTTAAGTATTTACATACAGGTGTTGGAGAAGGAGGAGCCGCCTGCTCTGACTGTGTCTGTAACAGAGATGAGAGGGTTTATGCCGATAGTTCTTTCATCAAGCCCTTGGCTTGTGGCTGAGATGGAGAGTATTTTTAGAAAAGTGTTTAGTTCTGATTGAAAGATTTTTGAAGCGTGGAGAATCCACCCACATTGTTTGGTGAGTTGCTCCGGTGGTTAGTTACCCTTGCAGGTGAACTCTCAAAGAAAAAACAACTTTATCACAAAAATCTTTTTGTAATGGAGTGGGTTGAAAAAAAAAAGTTTTCCCCGTTTACCATTTTTCTCCCTCGCATTTACCTTTCACATCAAGTTTTATTTGCTAAGGAAGGTAAGAAGTGCTTCCACTTCAGCCTGAAAATGTTACATTAGAAATAAAATCCACAAGAAATGAAATGACACTCCAGTCACACATCCACATGGTGAATGTTTTCTAACGTCTCTCTCTCTCAAAGGAGCACTCACAGAAAATAGCCACAGATGACAACAGATCGGACCTAGCCTCCTCTGCCAGGCAGCCTTGCTGGAGCTCTACATACTCCTGTCATTCAAATTTAGGCCAGGCTTTGACTGAGATCTTGCTCTTTTGCTCCATTTGGTTAATGTTTTCCATCACTCTCCAAATGTTCAATTTGGTTTCTCTGTTCTAGTTAAATCAGCCAAACTCTGCGTGTGAGTGCGCACATAAATATATATATAAACACGTATATAGTCAAAGAAACAACTGTCAAAGACATTGTAATGCTTCGACTACCGTTTTATTTGCAGGACAGACACGAGATTTCCTTAGTTCTGTGGGGTTTTTTGTTTTGGTTTTTTTTTTTCCCTATTGGGCTTAATTGTTCCAATTCCTTTTTCAGATTGACTCTTGGTGCAAAGAGAATAGCTACGTGATAGCTGGATATTACCAGGCAAACGAACGCGTGAAAGATGCCAGGTGTGTTGGTGCAATATTTCCTTCTGTTTGCTCTTTTATCTTGGACTTTGTACTCTGCCAACAAAAATCATCGACATAAGTCGTGCGTGTTGATTCACTTTGACAGTTGTCAGCTGGTTTCACATTGTCTTTGTGGTACTGGTGGGTACGGCCTTTGTTCAGGTGCAGAAACCTCCGTCTTTCCAGAATCGCTCCTCTTCGGTGGGTACTATAAAAGGCCAGTATTTGAACGACTGCCAGCCAGTTTAATTACAGTTGTCAGGGAAATAGCCAAAATTCGCAGGCGCGTTTGCTTGTGCAGTACGTATCTTGTAAACTCCAATGACTCTTGAGTATCTTTTGGAAAGTCTTTCCGAAGTGGCCTAATTCTTACTAAACGACTTAATCGTCTCTGAGTTTTACTGAAGCGTTTTCTTATGTGGTAAAGGGACGCTCTTGAAATGGAAGATTATGTCAGTCAAGCAGCGATATCTCTTTTTGTTTCTTTTCACCAGGATTAGTCATTTTTTTTCCCTGCTAGCAAACTCGGATTACTCAATAAGCAGTAAGGGGAGCCACTATTTAGTTTGAGATGTGTATCAAATATTTTCCCCTGTATCTGTTAGACAAATCCAGTATCAGGATTAATGAGAGTATATCATACTTAAAGTAAATGTGAACAGCTTGTTTAAAGTGTTATGTTCCAGTTATTTTGTTAATGGATATCCTTCAGTCTCAAGTATATTTTTTTAAGGAATACTCGTGACTGCTAAGGTATCATACAAGGATAAAGAGCATTGTTTGTCCTTTCCTTACAAGGGAAATAAATCTGCTGGAGGCATTTAAAGGAGAAGACACAGTTTGTCTATTCTATTTGAGGTTTGAAAGGCTATCAGAGGCTTTTTTTTTTTTTAACTCAAATTTTATTTCTGAAGATAACTGGCACCATGTAGAGATTGTCATCTTTGAAACATGCTGAAGGTTTTCCTTTAAAAGATTATCTGATTTTCATAGAGAAGCTGGGCAACGAGTGGGTTCAAATGCAGGCTGGGGAGCAAACTTTGGTTTCTTTTTTAAATGCCTGCCAGGGCAAAGGTGGCTGCAGTCTTTTGTCTGGTGGAAGAAGGTAGGAGGCCACAAAATGTTGATTCCACATAAAGTCTGCAGTGAGCGTTTTGCCATTCAAAAACCCATTGCCTAAGCAGAGCTGAGATCCCGATTGCGCTGAAGAGAGGAGTTGGGGTTTTCTTGGCCTTCTGACTTCAATCAAGTGTAGCATCAGCTTGATATTTTGTTCCTGTTTGTAAGCACGCCCTGTAGTTTTCGCATCTCTTTAAGCATGTTTCCTGCTGGTTTCAGCTGAAATGTCAAGCTTCAAATAACACAGTTACTTTTACCTTCTGCTGCAGTCCAAACCAGGTTGCGGAAAAGGTGGCCTCCAGAATCGCAGAGGGCTTTAACGATACAGCGCTCATCATGGTAAATTACTGCTTTTTTCCCACCCCCCCAGCGCTCACTCGGGAACACGAGAAGCCAGATCTGTTTTTTCCCCCCCCCCCCCTCCTTCTTTCTGTATCGTTAATGTTGTGACCGTGGTGTCGGACTAGCCATTTAAATGCTCTTCTCTGAATCCTTTCACAGTGAAGTAACTAATTTTCTCTT